CTGCTGCTGCTGCTGCTGCTGCTGCTGCTGCTGCTGCTGCTGCTTGTATCCATCTCTGTGACCTCCTAGTCTGTGAGGCTGCCCCTACACATGAAAAGGTAAAAACATTCTCAAGTCAAGTTTGACATCTGGTAACTGTATCCCTGCAATATTCTTGGCAGCATTATGGATGTGGTTTGTCATTGCCACCTTTGGTTTACTTGCTGCTGGCCCATGGCCTTGGAACTCCAACATGTTCCTCCATCCAGGTACTAACCAGGACTTGCCCTGGCTTTTGAGATCCACTAGGGTCAGTTATATTCTGCCACTATTTTTTGATCAAGAACTGGCTTTTTTTCAGTTGACCAGTGTAAAAGTCAGCTGCAAAGAAGGAACCATTCACATGCAGAACCAAACATGTGTTAGGGGTTTCAGAATCAAAGTTGTGCACACCTTGGATTTAGAATTACTAGTTCCCAATAAAACATGCAAGAGCCAAGTTGGTGTAGTGGTTAAGGCATCAAGCTAGAAACCAGGAGGCCAGGAGTTCTAGTCCTGCCTTAGGTACAAAGCCAACTGGGTGACCTTGGACCAGTTACACTCTCTCAGTGCTAGGAGGGAGGCAAGGGCAAACCACTTCTGGAATCTTGCCAAGAAAACTGCCAGGACATGTCCAGACAGTTGCCAGGAGTCAACACTGACTCAAAGGCACACAAAATAATAATAATAATAAAACATGCAGTGTTTTCACAGGCTGTAAGATTTGTAATTACCTGTTTATTAAGAGATACAATTTTCTTACTGTCCTAATGTTTCATGAAGCCTGTTTGCTTTCTATAAAAGAGAGGAGGCAAAAAAAAAAAATCAACTGGCTAAAGCAAGTGTCATAGTTTCCTGTTAAATTTATGCCAACTTTCCTGTCTTCTTTTGTGTTTAGATGGCAATAGAGACTCACTTTTGGACTTGGATAAATCATTTTGTTACTTGGGGGTCCATTGTGTTTTACTTCATCTTTTCCTTATTCTATGGTGGAATAATCTGGTAAGTATTTACCTCTGTGAAAACAAAAGAGTAGTAAAATATTGCTGCCTTAAATTCTTGCCATGAAAAAAAGCCATGTTTGGACCAGTAGGCAGGCTGTGGTCAGTGTGTGGGTTTATGTGTACACACAGTGCATATGTATACACAAACAAAACTTGTGCTACTGCATTCTCTGAGCAGCTAAACCAACAAACTGGTACACAAGATGAAAAGAATAATAAAGCATAAAAATACTGTCATATTATCTATGTGTTATTCATTAGGAGGGCTTTGTTGTTCAACAGCAGTCCAACCACTCTTCTTTGTTACACCAAACTTGAAGATGCAGCTTTAAGTGTATTCTGAAACCAGTATTTGGTTGAGAGAAGAATGCTCATACCAAGACTGTGTTGTGTTGCAGTTAAGAAGTAGGACTAGGTTCAGAGAAAGACAGGATCAAGTCCACCCCATTGGAAGCCCACAGGGGTAACTTTGGCTCAAGTACTGTGTCTTAGCCCCACCTGACTCACAGAGTGGTAGTTGTGTGGAAAAATTAGAGGAGGAGCTCTTGTGATGCCATATTGACTTTTTGGAAAAAATGTGGAGTCCTTGGTGTTCTCTGAGCTTGGTTGTTTTCTTGCAGATATATCATTACTCAACCAGGTAACATCATCAGTGCTAGTTTTTATACAGGCAAGCTACTGTACAACAGGGAGCAAACCCCACACTCACTAGCACTGATGATGTTACCTAGTCAGGTAATGAAAC